TGCTATCTCATACTCCTCTTTAGAAGAGCTTTTGCTGTACCCCACACGTTTTGGTACATTGTTTTTCTATTTTCATTTGTTTCAAATTTTTGTTTATTTTCTTCTTAATTTCTTCATTGACGCAGTGGCCATTCAGGAGCATGTTGTTTAATTTGCACATATTTGTAGAGTTTCCAAAGTTACTCTTGATGTTGATTTTTAGTTTTATTTAATTGGAGTCTGATAAAACATTTGATATAATTTTAATTTTTAAAAATTTGTTTAGACTTGTTTTGTGTCGTAACATATAGTCTATCCTGGAGAACATTCCATGTACTCATGAAGACAATGTGTATTCTGCTGTTGTTTTATAAAATTCCTTTAATATTTTATACAATCACAGAACAGAGTTAAGGGAAACCTGAGAGATCATCTTGCCCTAACCCACATTTTGCACAAAAGGAAACTGTTATCAAGAAAATTATGTGATATGCCTTTAAAAAGAAGTGTTTCCTGTAGAACTCAGGTCTTTAATCTGCTGCTTGTTTCACTACAGCACCAGTTCTCAAAGTATGGTTCAGGGACCCCTCGGGATTCCAAGAACCTTTGAGGAGACTGTGAGGTCAAAATTATTTTCACAATAATGGTAAGACCCTATTTGCCTTTTCACTCTCATTCTAGCTTTGGTGTATAGTGACGTTTTCCAGAGGTTGCATGACATGGGCTGTATCAAAAGAATGAATGCAGGTCGGGATCGGCGGCTCATGCCTGTCATCCCAGCACTTTGGGAGGCCGAGGCAGGTGTATTACCTGAGGTCAGGAGTTCCAGACCAGCCTGGCTGACATAGCAAAATCCCGTCTCTACTAAAAATACTAAAAATTGTTCAGGCGTGGTGGCAGGCGCCTGTAATCCCAGCTATCTGGGAGGCTGAGGCAGAATTGCTTGAACACAGGAGGCGGATGTTGCAGTGAGCCCAGATCGCATCACTGCACTCCAGTCTGGGTGACAGAGCAGACTCTGTTTCAAAAAAAAAAAAAAAGAATGCAAAAGCAGATATGAGATTCCAGTGGTTTTCCTCTTAAGCTAGACATTAGAGAAATTTGCAAAAATAAGAAATAGCATCAATTTTCTATAAAAAATGCAATTTATATTAATATGTACAATGCCCATTATTATTATTATTATTATTATTATTATTGAGACGGAGTCTTGCTCTGTTGCCTAGGCTGGAGTGCAGTGGCACTATCTCAGTTCACTGCAAGCTCCCATTCCTGGGTTCATGCCATTCTCTTGCCTCAGCCTTCTGAGTAGCTGGGACTACAGGTGCCCGCCACCACGCCCGGCTAATTTTTTATATTTTTGGTAGAGACGGGGTTTCACCGTGTTAGCCAGGATGGTCTCGATCTCCCGACCTTGTGATCCGCCTGCCTCGACCTCCCAAAGTGCTGGGATTACAGGTGTGAGCCACTGTGCCTGGCCTATTGTTATATTTTTAAATATGGTAATATTGAATAACATAACCTGTGTATGTGTGTGTGTGTATGTAAGTGTGTGTGTATGTATGTACATATGTGTGTGTGTGTGAGTATATATATATATATGAGGTTTTGGTGCTCTCAAGAATTCATAGGTATTATCCCAATAAATAGAATGATGTCATTAAAAGAAGGAAACAAGGACAACAACAGCTACCAATTTTTAAAAATTAATAGTGTTATAAAAATGTCTTCTGTGAATAGACAGTGGAGACTCAAAAGGGGGGAGTGGAGTCAGTGATGAGAAATTACTTAATATGTACAATGTATACTATTCCAGTGATGGCTACACTAAAAGCCCAGACTTCACCACTATGCACTATATTCATGTAACAAAACTGCACTTGGACTCCATAAATCTTACAAATAAAAAGAAATGTATTCTGTGGCACTCTCCTTCTTCTAAAAATAGCTTGGGCTGTTTTGGAATAATTTTTAACTTATTATATGTGATTGCAAGCTCCTTATGCGCCTTGGAATTCAGAATTTCATGCTTTCACTTTCACAACTAACTTCATTTAACTTTATGAAGCTTGTGCTAAATATATAAATGCTTAAGGATATGTGGAAATCATTGAAAATGCTAAATTAAAATGATTTTAAACTAGTTTTAAATTGTGTCATCTTTACAAAAAAAATTTTTTCAGAGAGTTATGCTGTTTTCTACTCATTGTTTACTTAGGTTTATCGAAGGGGCAGATGAGAGGAGAAATTCCCCTTCTAAAACAAATGAAAAGGACACACAAAAATATTCTTCAGTTTCCCTGCCAATGTGGGTTTCTGCTCAGCCCTGATTTCACTGATTTTTTACCTGTCCTCACTCCAATTTTTTTTTAGTGATCGGTTTTAAATCTTAATTCTGTAAATAGATCTACCATTTTCTTAGAAAATGAGCTATTTCTGGGCAGAACTGAAAAGAGGTGGGGACTGGATTCATGAAAGGAACTTTTGGGGGCCTTTGTGAACAGGAGTTCTAGAACCACTAGGGAAGCTGAAATATTACTCCTCATAATTTTTGTATGACGTTCTCTTCAATAAAGGGTGTCAATGTAGCCTTCCAGTTATGTATGTCATAATTAGATGCATATAAAGGAGGAACAAACCCATGCAGTTTCTAGAACAACAAATTAGGGGAAAGATAGAGTGGAAGTATCCTTCTGTCATGGTTCTTACATTCTTATGCTGACCTGAAACCACATTTTTGTGATTGATGAAGGTCATAAGAAAGACTATTTCCTTCACTGAACTTGTCTATTATTCTCACAAGTCAGTTATTCTCTTGGTCTCATTGGGCATGTTTTCACCCAATTTCCTTATCAGTTAGTGCTGGGAAGACAAGAACTTTGTATTTTATACACTGTACTGTAACATATAATATACATAAATATGAAACAAAAACAAATTCATTGTGATTTCATTTTCTCCCACAATGAAAGAATAGATTTAATCCTTTACCTAATTTGCATCCTTTGCTCTTCCAATCCTGTTCAATAATTCATCAGAAGGCAGTAACTTAGTGGTAAACAACATATTGTTTCCCTTTGTTGGTACTTAGTAAGCTTTAGGTTCTGCAATCTGTTCTTGTGAAATGAATCCCATAATTCCTTTAATCATTTTAGTTACTCTTCTCTGGATCCATTCAATTAGATTACAACTTTTTGGCAAGATAAGTACTTGAGTTGAACAGTCTTTCCATATGTTGTCTCAGAAGAGTGGTAAGGGAAAGGCTTGTAGCATTTACATTCATGGCTCAATGGCTACATTCTTTTTGACAAAGATAGCTTTCTGGATATAGTACGTATTGAATAAGTGCTTGTGAATGAAAGTGTTTAATATAAACTTATTGACCATTTATTGTTTTTCTAATCTATTTGTTAAGCCCTTTACTGACATTTGGTTTCTCCTTTGGAAAAACAGATTCTAAATAATGGTAATACTTTTAAAATATGTATCATGCTAATATCATAAATTAGGTTATATACCATATGTCCAACCAAGCTTTAGAACACTTTTTACAAAAATGGGCAAATCAAGGGTTCTGGAAAGGATATTATAAAAAACTCATGGATACACATTGAGAAGAAGAGATTGTCCAAATAAGGTAAGGAAAAGAAGATAAAATGAATCAAATTGCATATTCAATAACAATAAAATTCCCAGGAGAAAATTTGGGTAAGTAATACTATGAAGAAATGATTTTTTTTAACATGTCCCAATACGTAACTGAATATGTAAACCAGCTTGGAGTTCTTTTCTTTGACATAGGAAAGGGAACATTTCAGAAACAAAAATGAAATTTTTCACAAAACTTTTTTTTCCATACCTCAATGGCACCTGTTTTGCACGGAGACAAGCACATGCAGGAAAAAGTTGTAAAAGTGGAAGTAAACGTGGTTTCAGAAGAGGATTGAGAAAATCTTAGGTAAGACTCTGGTATAAGACATTGTGGGAATTAAACACTCTACTAGAGATCTAGGGGAAAGCACCAAGAGCAAGTCAAATACTAGAATAGGAGATAGAATCCCTTTTCCTGGGGAGGTTCAAGAATCCAAAACAGCATATTCAGGATGCAGTTTCAGGTATCAGCATCAGAACTAGGTCCAAATCCAAGATCTGGTTGTAGATCAGGCTACACAGAGCAGAAGCTTTAGAGTCAGTCATGGAACCAGTACCAATGGAATGGAAATAGGAATAGTTAATTACTGTCTTTAGGAAATGGGGCTTTTGAAATGGGCCAAGAGAGTCAGGCAGGATTGACTGGTTATAGTATTGGCTTGGCCTTCCTCAGGCCCAGAAGACCTGGACAGAAGTGATTAGCCATGGAGACTATAACTTCCACATGGAAAATACTTAGAGAGAATTTGGTTTGGTTCAGAAGAACTCCATATTCTCCTTTATCAACTGTACTTGAAGTTGAGTTGATGGCAGCAGAAGTGTGATTTCAAACTCCCTTTACTAGTGAAGAGAAAGCATTCCCTATTTCCTCTACTGAGTTAGGATTGTTTATGGGACCCTATGGGGCAGCCTGTGGATTATTCCATATTCATTGTGGACAGTGGGGATGGTCTGGGATTTGTCATAGACTAATATTGGAGAATTGGAAAGGTTAAGGAAAGATATTTCAGTTTTATAATGAAGGTCCAAAATTAATCTGGAGGCCAGAGGGACCCAGAAAAGAAAATAAAAATGAGAATTACTAATGAGTGGATCTTTGCCATTGGTAAAAATCTGGGTCACTTATAGCTGTATTTTTCCATCTGTGCTTTTGTCTGTGGGCTTTGATAGCATAGTTGTCTAATAAGTGTTTCAGCATCTGAATCTGACAATAGATATCATTCCAGAATACAATTGTTATGTAACAAAGATTCTGTATTCTGGAGAAAAAAGTCAATCAACACAATTTTAAGCTTTCTATGTCTTTTGTTTGCAGGGATTCAGGCATAAACAAGCATTTGTCATTCGATTCTTCTAGTGCATTTCCAGCATAGTGTGCCTTGGGCATGACACATCAGGGTCTGATGTTTATCTTTTATTACCTGCCAGACCTCTCTGGAAAAGCCTCCATGGAATTCATCATCTGCAGTCTTTGTTGTAGGTACACATATAAATACATGCTGAACGCATTCGTTGAGGATATTGTGGTTTCTAAAGCTGAACTTAAATAAAAAGTATTGAGATGAATAATGAAGAGAACTTTCTGCAGAAGGTATGAAGCTAATCATTAAAATGTTTTTAACTAAAATATTGACAGCAAATCTTTTAAAAAATGTGAAGTATTTGAGTGCCAGTAAGAACAAGTGTAGCATAATTGTACTTGTTATATGTCCACTTTGGAGAAGTTAATGAAGAATTGCCCTTCTCTACTACACAGTGAGTTTATAAAGATAATGAAAATAAACAGTTCAAAATATTAATCTAGGAAAGCCCATTTGGTTTGAATAGTCATTTAGATTCAATAGGCACCAAGTTTCAGAAGAATACGTATGCTATAAAAATTTTTATTTCTATTTTGGTTGTTATTGAGAGAATAATGTTTTGTTTTTCTCAAAGCTTTGGCCTCATTCTAACAAATATGCTTTGAGATTAAACGACTAAAGGTGGAAACCTGTTTTCAAATTATATTTGAAACGCACAGCATGAATAGTGATAGCCACTCATTGGGTCTAGCATATATTAAAATAATCAGTTGTCAGCATATAGCATTTCTCCTCACTTCTTAATGTGTGTGTACCCAACCTTTACTCTTGTATTTCTGACCGACCATTTTGAAAGACTGAAGTACAGACTTGGAGGCAAGCTGTGGTAAAATTTGGGAGGATGTGCGTTATCTTTATTAAATTAAGAAAATATATTGCAAGAAGCATACCTACTGTGTGAAGAGTGCAGTGAAAACCAGTGCATTATGTATGAAATAGTGGCATATAGAGAACAAACCTGGTCCCCACTTATGCATGGAGTGTAGAAGATCGCTAACATCTAAGAATGGGTTCACTGATCTGTATAGTGAATACAAGCAGTTGTTTTGAAAGAGACAAGAACAAATGCACTTTCCATAAGGAAACTGGGCAAGGCTGTGTGAAGAAGGGACTCCCTGAGGCGGAGGCGTGGCTTATCCTGTACTGTCATGTCACTGTTGTAGGCATCAAATGGTGGTTTGTGTGATTATAATGAATTTAGCTAAAAGTAAATTCATAGCTGCAAATGAAGGCTTATAGAAAGAAAGTAAGGGTGATTAGCATGTACATTATTAGCTTTTGGGGATTTCGATTTCTAACTATGTAACTTCTTGGACTAGGTTTTACTTACTACTTCTGAACCTACAGCAAGAACTCTGCTTTCTTCCTCAGCTCCCACAATTTTAGCCCAGGATTCCAGGTGATGCAGCTCCTACGAAAGCCCTTAAAAGCCATGCCCTCCTCAAGACCAGTCTAGACCAAATGTTGATTGTTTACTCTTAGGAGGGCAGAAAAATGAACAACATGATTTTTACACTGCACAATTCTCACAGCAAGAGACATTCTCTGTCTTTTGAGGAAAGTTCCTTTGGAGTTGGAATAGAGCATTGTATTTACTAGATGTTATAAAGGTGAATGTTGACTGTCCACTTGACCCAACTCCACTGAGTAAGCTCTTTTATACTCTCCTGCATAGGGTCACATTCTCAGGAAGTGAAAGAATATGGAAGGAGGCAGGGAGATGACATGTGACATTCCTTTTCCAGCTAACTGATGTCTGGTAAAGGACAAGATTGTGTTTCATACTAGATGCTCTGGGAACGTGAGCAAGAGCAGCATGAAGTAAACTACAAAACACAGCACCTGAACAAAAGCTCAATGGATTCCGAAAGGCAGATAGTGTGTATGGAGAAAATCTCTCAGAATAATTACTTCCCCAACCTGAACAAATTCTTTGTTAGAATCTTCAGTAAAATGAACAGTTATTAATCTTAGATTTGGTATTTCCCTAAAGAATATTTTACTGAGATCCTCTATTTAAAACAATGATGTAAAGTCATGCATTCAGCCACATTCTTAGCAGTGGCAAACAAAAAATTGATTGAAAACACATTCTTATTTCTTATAGTAGACCCTATGGGGTGTATGAAGTTGAGAAATTGAGTGAAAGAGTAGCATATCATAACAATTAAAATCTGTTTATCAAGAACCTTGTGTGTGGTGCTGAGCTGGGTAATATGTCAAGTGAGTAAGATCTGTTCTCCGCCCTTCAGATATTTATAACTCAATACAGAGAACACTGACACAGGTAGACACAGTTCTGACGTTTCCATATCACAGAAGGAATGAATGTCATCTGGGGTGAAGTCAGAGATCCATCCAGCTCTGCAGCCTGTATCTGTTGAGGGCATGAAGTGCAGCCCCATGGGAGGCTCTGCCTGACCTTCTAGAGGCTTGCTTCAAGAGGCTAGAGGTTTACCTATCCCAACTCTCCCTGCTTTATGCTGTTGTCTGTGTGACTCTAGAGAACTCCTGATTCTTGTTTTATATTTTCCATTTGTTTTGTCTTTTAGAATTCAGAAGATTTGTCTTCTGAAGATTTCAAGGTTTATAGTTCATTTTATAATTATTTACCTCAAACCTACCTACTCCCAGTGTATCAACTAGCTCTCCATTTAAGAAATCTCAATGGAGAGACAAGACAAAAATTAGATGAGAGTTTCAAGAGCAGTGGGTTAAGCTCGCACTTCCTGAAATCAGAATGCCTGCATTTTATTCTCGGCTTTGCTACTTACTAGCTGTGTGATGTGGGGCAAATTATTGGACTTCTCTGTACGTCACTGGGACATTAATAGTGTCCACAGGAAGAGATTTTGTGGAGATTAAATAAGTTAACACATGCAAAATGCTTAGAACTGTGCTTAGTGAGAACTCATTAAAAAGGAGTCATTCATTACATATACTTTATTTTGTTATGTTGACCTCTAATAGCTCTCCTGTTTTCATTTTTACAGACTTAAAGAGTTTTACACTTTCCTTTACATGATGGAATGTATTTGCTTATGATAGTAATGATAACAATTATATATAATGTACCTTTTTACATAAACATATATCCATCCACTTCTAGCCTATAAAGGCTTTCCTAAGGCACAATGACTAGAACTATTTTTAACAATCTAGTTACAGGCATATTATAATTTTTTAAAAGGATAGAACACCTTCCCCTCTCATATTTAAAGTATTTTTGTATTCATATTTGCAGTATTTTTATATGCTGCAGCAGCCCATTAGCTGATATCTTCACTAACAGTTCCATAACGTTCTTGGATCTTTTTCATACTGTATTACAGAGCCCATTATCTTAAATATATATTATATATACATGAATATCTAAATTTTTTCCACGTCTTTTTACCTTTGAAACATTTTTGTTGCTTTTCTGCTCACCCACAAAGTCTTCACAAATTATTTTTGTCCGTCTGCATGGATAAATATATTTTTAGCCATACAATCTTAATTTCTCTAAAAAATATGGAGAATTTTTTGATGTACTTATGAACATACTAAATAAAACAAAACTTTTTGCTTCCTTTATTATTTTAGTTTTATTATTTAGTTTCATATTATCAAAATCACATGGTGTTAGACCTTTGTAAAAATTATGTTTTTCCTTCTCTGAAAATGTTTGGTTAGGTATATTTTTCTTGTGTAGAACTTCTATTGTAGATTTTGCAGAACTTGCCCATAGAGGTGAGATTTGTTTATGGGTTGATGCCACTGTTGACTATTTGCCAATTTGTTGGGAATAAAAACGAGACTCATAGCGTTTCATATGGAAGCAGCTATATCATTTACATTCTGATACTTCTTTCACACAGAGCTCTCAATAATGATTGTTGCTCTATCATTCTTGGTCACATGTCAATGTTCCACCTAATCCACCAGCTTAGATCTAGGTTATTATCTTGTAATAATAATGAGGATTAAAAAGTCAGAAAGTGAAAATTTGATGGTAGAAGTGGAAATTAACCAGGTTGACCCTGACATTTGGCTATCTAATCTCCCCACAAATGTGCTTGGAGATGAGAAACTCAACACTTTGACAAATAACCCATTCCATTTTGGGCCCATTATGTTAAGTAAAATTTTGATTCCTTGCAAATTCCAAGAAATTTATCTGGATTTTCCTTCTGTGCTTTGTTTTACTTCAAAAGATAGAGATACTATTGAACTCTCACTCGAAGTGTGGAGTTTTTTTTTTTTTTTTTAGACTTGGATTTCCTTAGTTTTCAGTATTTTGTCACATATAAAGTTTTTAAGCAGCATGAAGAAATGAAATAAGAGTTGCAAACCACACATATTTAAATTCTGCTATGTTTTAGGTATGAAGCCAGGCAAGTTGCTGTATTTGTCAGATCCTCAGCTGCCTCACTGAAATATATATACATATATATATTTATATAAATATATGTATATATGTGTCTATATAGATATATAGAGAGTGAAGGCATGCATACACACACACACACACACACACACACACACACACCAGAGACAGAGAAAGAGAGAGAGAGAACGTTTTAGCTATTTCAGAAAAGCATGAGAAATAATGTTTTCTCAGTATATTAAGTGTGGTAATCATAACCCTAGGGAAAACGGCTGATATTGAGGATAACTACGGTGAAAAAACCCTAAAGAAAAGGTAAAATTTATAGAGTAAAGCTACAGAGGCATTGTAGAGCAGACTTTCACCAGCACAAGCCCATCTAAGTGAAGAAGCACAGGTCTAAGCCCTTCTAGAGAAAACTTTGAAGAATGCCATGCCATATTTTATCTAGGAAAGCTGTTTTGACTGACTCATCCTACTGGGTTACCATCAGGTCTTGTTGACATCCAAAGAAGTCTCATTCAGAATCTTTTATAAAGGAGAAGTCTGAGTCAAATGTCCTTTCTGGCCTTATACTTCAACATGGTAGGTCTTGTTTGTAATTAATTAATTAGAAATTATTTACTCAATTACTACTTTATGCTGGGCAATGTATTAGGCACAAGGATACATCTAAATGCCACCTTCTAAGAATCTTCAGTCTTTGACATGTTCTTCTTGTCAGCCTTTCCTGACTTTACTTCCTATCCCATCTGTCTTGGATTCCATATCCTATTATTTTAGCATCTTCCTTGCCCAAATCCTCAACTTATTTTTGCCATTGTCCTTCTGAGTTTTTGACCTCATAAAATCTTAAACCAT